GATGAAGTCAGGGAGTGGAGGCACCAGGACAAGACTGGCACATGGCTATGCAGGGCTTAGCTGTAGCACAGTGGGATAATGCTTTTATAACATAAATCTAACTAATAGTATATCTGTCCTACAGCCCATTTTTTTTGGTTTTTTTGTAGTTTTTTAAATCTTTATTGTTGAAAGTATTACAAATGTCCCCTTCCCCCCACCATTGGCCTCCTCTAGCCTCCCCCGACCCCCCCCCCAACCCCAGGCCTTCACCCCCCTATTGTCTGTGCCCATGGGTTATGCATATTTGCACACAATTCTCTCCCCACCCCAACCCCTCCAGCGGGCACCTTCCCTCTGAGATCCCACAGCCTGTTCCATGCTTCTGTGTCTCTGGATCTATTTTGTTCATCAGTTTATCCTGTTCGTTAGATTCCACATATGAGTGAGGTCATTCAGCGCCCGAACTGGCTCCGTGGAGCAGGTAATCTGGGCTCTCTTGTCTAAAACACAGATTCCTAGATCCCAGCGCAAGATGCACTAAATAGAGTCTCCAGAGATGTGGGTGGGTCAGTATATTCAACAAGAGCCACACGCTCAGCCCGTACCTCCACCTCTGGAAGCTTTCTGAGCTCCAGGCGCAGCACATCTATCTCCTGCCTCGTCTGCAGGCCTCATAGCTCAGCAACAACAAAAAGGAACCACGAAGCTGTTATCCTCCCGGCTCCCACCAGCCACACGGCCTCCTAGTCGCTGTGTGCAATGGAAACTGAAACCTCAAGCCGTCCTTCAGCTTGATTAGCAGGAGAGCTCGGCCCTGGTCTGCATGGGGCTCTTTGGTGTGAAACCCCTCCTTTGTGATGCCTGTTTGTTTGTAGCTGGGACCCAGCGCACCAGCCCTGGGGTGATGCCCCTTCTCCAGGGTCCTGGGAGGCAGAGGCCGGGCTGCCCAGTCCCACCATCCCCACCATCAGCTCCCCGATCTGAGTTTCCATTTCCTCTGACAAGCATTCGCTCCGCTCCTCGCTCCTCCGGCTGCGGCGACCTTGTCTGGGGACAGGAGGGTCACAGGAGCAGAGGCAGCGCCTGCCTGTTCGCATCAGTCCATCGGCTCCCGCTCTTTTGTTCTGGTTAACACGTTCCCCCATCGCCCCGCTG